CCCCACCCTCAGCCTGGAGCTCGTGGGGGACGTTGGACCCCCCCAGCCCTCGCCCCTGCCCCAGCAGCAGCTCCTGCGCACACTGAAGCTGGAGGCCTCTGCGTCCGACCCACTCCTGGCTGGGGGCAGGACCTCAGGGGGAATGCATCCCTGTGGGAAGGAGTCCTGCACCCTCGACGCCGACTGCCTCTGCCACTCCCTCACCAACGGGCTGCCGGAGGACTTCCCCGCCTTCGCCAGGAGCCCCCCAAAGCCGGAGCCTCGAGCCCAGGTAGGTGCTGGGGTGCCCCATGCCGGGCACAGGCTCTGCCCCAGGGTCCACCGCCTGCTCACTGCTCTCCCCTCTGCAGGGCAGCGCGTGGCCATACCCCCGGCAGAGCTCGGCCCATGCCCAGCGCATCGCCAGGGCCAAGTGGGAATTCTTCTATGGCTCCTTGGACACCCCGAAGACAGGTAAGAAGTCGGGGGGATGCCCTCGGCTGGACCGACCTCTCCTTTGCAAGTCTAAATCGCTGCCGGGACTCCCCCTGGGGCTGCCCCTCCCTCGGGACTTGTCGGTGCCCACCGGACAGCCCAGATCCCCCCAAGACTGGCCAGGCTGTGTCCTCCTGGGGCCAGATCCTGCATGCACCAACCTCCCCGCAGAGTCACCTGCGGCCGTGCAAAGCGTCGTGCAAAGGGGGTGACACAGAGCCCTGACCCCTGGTAGCCCCCAGCTGCCTCTGAAGAAGGGCTTCGGGGTTCAGATGGGGGCTCAGGGCTGGCTGTGGGTGCACTAGCACTGACAGCACCCTGTCTCTGCCTCTTCCACCCTTTTTCCTTCTGGCTCCCCCTCTCCGTTCCCTGGTGCCTGTCACATATGTGACCCTGCTCTCGCTGTGCATGTCATGCCGCAGGAGTGGCTCCCCAGCGCTCCCCGGTGCAGCTCCCCACGGCTCTGAGTGCTTGGGGCTCCCTTGCAGGCTCCTCTGCCCCTGACTGCGCTCCCCTGGCCGAGTCCCCCCAGAAGCCCGTCTGCCCGCTGCCCGCTGAGCCGCCGGGGTCGGTGCCCAAGCACAGCCTGAGCCACGTAGAGGTGGAGATAGAGATGTCTCCTCCGGGCAGCCAGAAGCCCGGCTCCTGTGAGACTGGGATTATAAGGAGGACAGTGAAGTACTCTGAGACAGACCTGGACACCGTGCCACTGAGGTGCTATCGAGAAACCAACATCGACGATATCCTGGCCGAGAAGGAGGAGGTGGATTCGGCGATTGAGAGCCAGAAGGACAGCGAGAGCAACCCAAGCTTCGGGGGCACCCCGGGCAGGAGGAACAGCACACCGGAGGAGCCCCCCGCCCCGGGCACTGGCTGCCCGAAGGATGGCCTGGGGGATGGGGACGCAGACGAAGACAATGAGGTGTTTGAGGCGACGAGGAAGGAGAACAGGGAAAGGTGAGGCTCTGTGTGTGAGGGCAAAAAGCTCCTCTCGCCCTCCTTATTATCCCCTGCATGGCAAAATGGGCTCTGCTGAAAGAGT